CAGCACCTTGGAGTACAACACCAAGTTCTAGTAAATCTCATAAGTGGAAGATACATTTTTCAAATTTTAAATCTCAGCTGTTTTAACCCACAATAGTCCAGTTGTCCAATCTCATCCTTCCTTCCTTCCTTCCTTTCCTTTCCCGTCCCTCCCTCTCTGTCTTCCTGTTTACTTTCCTATCTTCCTTTCTTCCTCTTTCCTCCCTCCTTTTCTTCCTATTTCATTTCCTCTACAATCCTTCCTTTCCTCCCTCCCTCCTTCCTTCTTTTCTTTCCTGTCTTCCTTCCTTCCTTCGCTGTCCCTCCCTCCCTCCCTCCCTTCCCTTCCCTTCCCTTCCCTTCTTTAGTAGGAAAAACCACAGGGGCTTTGCTGCAAAGGCAGGAAAGAAGGAAGGTCTTGTCCTTATTCCTAGTGGGCAAATATTAGGAGGACTCAGAACATGCCAGGGGATCGAGCGAAGGCCAGGGGTCTGGAGGAGATGTTGAGTTTGGAAAGGCACAGCTTCTCTGAACCCATTTGAGCTCAGGATGCTTGTCATCAATTACAGAGGGGAGAAATTTGCCAGCTTTTGGCTGGTCTGCCCTCCACCAAGCCTTCATTCCCAGCTGGATCTGGGTTGCACCGATTCATAAGAAAGTGTTGCTTCACGTGTGTTGTGTGAAAGCCGGCAGTGGTGGTTAGTCAGTATACAGTATAAAGCAACGGAACTCAGTGTGGGAATCCAGCCTACGAGTCTTTCATCTTGCCTTGCTGAGTCCAACGGTCCCAACTGGCTGGGGATTATGGCCGTTGGAAACCAACCTATCTGCAGGGGCTGCTTCCCAAGTCATCCAAGGCTCAGCACTGAAGCCACAAAGGCTGCTGGGTTTTATTTACTGGATCTCGGAACTGAGTCCTGCAGATAACTTTCCTACAAAGCTTGTTCTTCCCAAGAGGCAGGAGGCCAACCCCCTTCTGGGACATCCTCAGGACCACAGAGCGTTTCTGATGACAGTGGAAACCCCAGGTGGATAGGTATGCGGGGAGAGATGGCATTGTGGTGGCAGCAGCCTTCCAATATTTGATGGGTTATCCACATATTCCCCAAAGCCCCAGAAGCAACGGATGGAAACTAATCAAGGAGAGAAGCAACCTGGAATTCAGGAGAAATTTCCTGACGGTGAGAACAATTAACCAGTGGAACTGCTGGCCACCAGAAGTTGTGGGGGCTGCTCCATCACTGGAGGTTTTTAAGAAGAGACTGGACAGCCCTTTGTCTGAAATGGCATAGGGTCTCCTTCTTGAACATGGGGGTTGGACTAGAAGACCTCCAAGGTCCCTTCCAACTCTCTTTCTATGACTTCTAAAATTTTAGAGGCAGCTTGCAGCAGTACATGGGAAATCTGGGTCCCATTTATCGGCAGAAAGTCGGTCCTTCTGTCTGCAAATTCTACAAAACTTTAGCACTTGCTGTCTGACCACCTTGCCCATCGGGGATAATATTGTTAAGCCCCCCCCCCGCCATTTTTCCTGTCCTGCAATCCCCCCCACCCCCCCGACTGTGATCAATGGTGCAAATTCTCACACATTTGAGCTGGGAAACTTTAAACATCTGATGCCATGAAAACCGAAAAATCTCTCCCCAAGATTTTAGCAGGAGACGATGGCCAATTAAAAAAAAAAACTTTCCCCATTTTGGGGTGTTGTGTGCACAATTTACAGGTGGAACAGAAGCCTTGGGGGCAAAAATCAGTTCCCTTCCCTGCCTTGTCACCTTCCTGGAAAGCTGCCCAAATAAGCTTAATTTTCACAGGGAGGGGGACGTGAAAAGGGATTGGGGAAAGGACAGACACCCCCCCGCTCAAAAAAGTGTGCCCCTTTTGCCCTGCTGGGGCATCATCTGCTACCTCTGCACCCCTAAAACATAGCCCCCTCCTTTATCCCCCCTCCTTGTGACGGAAAGAACAAGAATGCATGGAAGAAATTGCTGTTTTGATAACAATAAAGTTACTCGCATACATTTACCCTCTGCATTTCCCTTCCTTTCCCACACCCCTTCCCCAACCTTTATAAATACCCCCCTCCCCTTTTCACATCCCTCTGGATTTCTGCTGCTTTTTCTTCCTTTTTTTTCCCTTCTCTCGTTTGTTTGTGGTTTTGGTTTTGGTATTTTTTTTTGTTTTTGGTTACTCGGATGCTTTAGAAGTCCCTTTAATTATATTTTTACAGGTTTGATTTGGTTTGGTAACTACAGCCTGTTTAAACCATCAAGGCATCGACATTATATATATATACATACATTTAAAAGGTCCCTTTCTCCCCGCTGCCCTCCCTTTAGAATAATCACCTGCTGATGATTATTAAAGCCCTTTTGGAATTTAGCGGTTAAAAAAGCGGTTTAGTACTTTGATTTGAGTTAAAAAGCATGTTAAAAGTGTGATTAGATGGTTAAGTTAGAATTTAGAAATGATCTTTCTGTTCTTTGGTTTTGTTTTGTTTTGTTTTGTTTGCTCATTCCTTCCCCGCTGAGTTTAAAAGTGTTGAAAGGTGCAGCTCTCGTCCCCAATGGGTTAGATGCATCGTCCAAGAAATTGTTAAGAAACAGAGAGGTTTGTTAAGCCTCAAAGCTTAGAGGCAGAGAGGAAGAGGATGATGGTCACTCGGAAGAAGACTTCTGATGTTGACTTCTCGGTGGGAAAAAATAAATCTAGGGATCACTTCTAAGATGGATCCCTGCTTCATCCCACACCTTCCTGACCTGCTAGCAAGTCCTTTTATCCCTCTTTCGTCTTTTTCCTGCTCAGCTGCCCGTATGATGTTTTGAAGGTGTTTGGATATTTGGATGTTTATTTTGTCAATCACAGGGTAATAGGTGTAAGTATAAACATGAGTAAGAATACAGGAAATAGGTACGAATAATTGGGGACAATAGGACAGCACGGTGGTGCACTTATGCGCACCCCTTACAGACCTCTTAAGAAGGGGAGTGAGGTCAATAGAGGTTAGTTCGAGGGTGAAGGAGTGGGGGAGGGGTTAGAGGAGGTGACCACAGAGTCAGGTGGTCTATTCCAGGCATTGGCCACTCTGTGGCTGAAGTCCTACTTTCTGCAATCAAGTTTGGAGCGGTTGAGTTTGTATCGGTTCTGTGTCCACAGGTTGGGCAGGTGGTTGACACGGAAGGAGAGACAGTCACTCCAAGGGTAAACTCCTCACTGCAGGTAGCCAAAATCACAAGAGGGGGAAAAAAATCCATCCAGATTAAAAGCAACCCCATCTTGTGAGCTCAGGAAGGGTGAGAGAGGAAGGCACGAGAAGAAGGAACCTCACTGAGTTTCAAGTCAAGGTTGACTCAGCCTTCTGTCCTTCCGAGGTGGGTAAAATGAGGACCCAGATTGTTGGGGCCAAGGGGCTGGCTCTGGAAACTGCTTAGAGGGGGATGGAAAGCACTGTGAAGCGGCATATAAAACTAAGGGCTATTGCTGTTATTCTATTCTATAATTATTTTCTATATTCTATTCTGTTCTTCTATTCCTATTCCTAATTTCATTCCTGTTCTCTATGCTGTGCTGTTCTGTTCTGTTCTGTTCTATTTCTACCTGGATGCCCTCCAGAAGTGTGAATTTCAACTTCTTAAAAGCCCCAGCTGGCGTGACCATGTAGAGAATTCTGGGAAGTCCACATTCTCTAGAAGAGCTTCCACGCTGGAGAAGGATGCTCTGTGATCCTCAGCCTCAGTAAGTTTAAGATGAGTGGACTTCAATTCCCAGAATTCCTCAGCAGTATGCTGGCTGGGGAATTCTGGGGTTGACATCCACCCATCCTAAAACAGGCTGGCTGGGAAATTCGGGGAGTTGAAGTCCACCCATCTTAAAGCAGGCTGTTCTAAGCCAAAGCAAATCCTAACACATGATTATCCAGTGGCTTCTCTTGCCCTTCTGATCCAAAATGGCTGGCTCTTGGGACCTATTTCGTGTGTGTGTGTGTGTGTGTGTGTTTTTGTGTGTGTGTGTGTGTGTGTGTGTGTGTGTTACTGCTCTGCAAGAGAAGCTTTGTGACAAAACCTCTTCAAGACGAAATGCCTTTTCCAAAAATCTGCCCAGCCTATAAATGGCTGCTCCGTTCCTCCCATGTCTTTGTGTTTCATGCATGACGGCACAAGGTCTCACATGCCCGTGGTGTCGGTGCTACTAGTGGACATGGCAAAAGATGTCTGCCCCCCGCCCCCATCCCCAAATCTGCTCCCTGTCAACTCGTAAAGCATTCCTGGCTTGCTCTCGAGTTGCCATAAGAAGGGGCGGGGGAGAGATCTGATGCAGCGGTTTGGTTGCTATGACCAGAAGCACGTTCCATGCATACCTTACTCCAGATTGTGTCCCAGGTTACCAGGCCCAGCTGGAGAGGTGTGTTTTCTACAGCCCGGGAAAGTGCTTCGTTGGAGAATGTGATTTATGACACACACTGAGAGGAAGGGGGGAAATAGGGTCATAGGCGGGCAGTAAATTACGTAGGGCAGAGCCTACTGCATTTGGGGAAAAGTGCCGACATGTTGTTCCTAATAAATAATTGGGTTTCTTTTGAAAGGTGGCTGGAGGCTTATGAATTAATTAGGGCGTCCGTTGGAACCCTGACACTCCCTGCCCATCAGATTTCCCCCTTTGCACAAGGAGTGCCGTCCAATTCAGGGAGTCAACCGATCCGATCCATCAACGAAGACTCAAATCCTCCAGGCCAAAGGTGTCTAAAGGTTGAACCGTGGCAAGTGGACCAAACTTTCTTTGCTTTGGTCCAGTTGCCACGATTTGACCATTGGAAACTAAACCAAAATCGTGGCTAATACCTCTTCTCAAGCTCTCCAAATTTGTCTCTGCTTAACTGGCCGTGCCATCTCTCTCTCTTTCTGCAAGCAAGGAGGAAGGAAGGCGAAAGGGGCGTGGAAGCTAAGGGAGGAGGGCTGCACCTTTAAAACCTTTTTGTTTTAAAACTTGCTTGTGAGTTAACCGGAATTAATTATTGTTAATTACCTTTGTCGAGTAGCCATTCATCTACTACTCGACCGAGCCGATACGGTATTCTTTGTCTAGCAATCGCCAGCCGCTCATTATCAGTGTTCCCTTCAAAAAGTTTAGAGAGAGATTTGTAGACGGTTAAGAGGAAGAAGAGAAAAAAAAAGAACAGCACCAAAAAAAAAGTTAAAAGAAATTTAAAAAATAAAAATTAAGAAGAATAGAGAAAGAGAAAGAGAGAGATAAAAAAGGAGACATATACACGCCATCTGGAAGGTCAAAGTTCAGAGGTTAGCAAATTTAGAGAGGTCAGACTATACTCCAAACAGCAGTTTAAGAGTTGGATCAAAAATTAGCGGTTAAGTTTCCATTAATTCTTTTTTTGTGGGGAGGGGTGGGGATGGGGGGGAAAGGGGGATTTGTTTGGGGTGGGTTTAGCAAGTTTAGCCACAATGAATAAAACACTAGTTATACGGTTTAGTTTAAGGGTTAGGATGAGTAGGATGGAAGTTAGAAGGCTTTATGCAGCCCCGGGGAACGGAACAAATTCTCCCCAGGGCCATTTTTTGTTGTTGTTTTGTTTTGTTCTTGTTTTTTTTTTAAGAAAAAAATTAAATTCACTTTATTAGCCGACTTTAATGTTTTACGTCACAAAAACGGTGGAAAAAGCAACATTGCGCTGTCAAACTCTCTCCCAAAAAGTTTCCTTTTCCCAAACTGGTAGGATTGTCGATTTTTTTTCCCCCTTCTCCTTTTCTTTTTGGCTTATTCAATTTGAATTCTCTACCCACCCATCCCGTTGGTTCCCTGCCTACCAACTCCACCCAAAGGCTTTCTCCCCCACCCCCACCCCTTTGCAACCCCACCCCCCCAAATAAAATGAAATAAAACAAGAGATTCCCTTGGGTTTTCCTCCCTTTGGCCTCTGAAAAGAGGGGCAAAGGTATTGAGCAGTCATCAAAATAACAAGGGAGGGGTCCAAATGCCGGGGGGGGGGGAGGGTGGTGAGCCAGGAGTCCTGGGGAGGTGGCAGTGGGCGACCAGCAGATCCAATTTGGGACCTTTTAGGCGAACGGACCAAGTTTGGGCTTCAGTGATGGGACAAGTTTTTAAAGCCCCCCGCCTACCCTCTTCCAATTGTTTCCCCCATGGAAAGAGGCTTCGAATCACACACCGTGGCCTCGGAGAGCGGCATGGGCACCTGTAGATGGGCACCTGTGGAGGGTTCAAAGCTCAGTCCAAGCCAGCCTGAAGGTTTCTTCCCAGCTTTGGCAGAGGGGACCCGGTCTCCAGGTTCTGTCCTGCTTTGCTGGGTCAAAGGCTCAGTAGCTTCCAAGAGGAGAAAGCGTGTTTTCAGCAGGAACGCCATGCTGCGTATGTTCAGCTGGGAGCGCAATCCCTTCTCCTGTTTTGCTCTGATCTTACCCCCCAAATTTCAGCCAACTGTCCCTGCTTACCTGTCCTGTGTCCCCCAAAGGAGAAAATAACGCTGGGGTTACAGAGAAGGCCTAGAGGGGGAGCTCTGGCCTCACAATCAGGAGGCTTGTGAGTTTGATCCTAGGTAGAGGCAGATATTTCTCTCTCTCTGGGCACAATGGGGATGTATCTGCTGAACAAAACTCTGCATCGGAGAAGGGAAAGGCATCTGGCCAGTAAACACTCAGCTCCATTCAGCTGCCCAGACCCCACCCTGCAAGGGATTATGGGGTCATTCAAAGGAGATGATTATAGAGAAGGTGTGGAAGATTGGACCGGGGTACAGACAGCACTTTCCAAAGCTTTTCCATGGGGGGGAGGAGCGCTTCGGAATATAATACCGTGAAGAGACATGTTGGCTTGTTCACGCTTTTGCTTTCATTGACCCTGCTGGGCCGGTGGAGTGGCTTCCCCTTTCGCCCTTCGCCCAGTCACAGGCAGAGAGGGAGTTAGCTTCAGTGCCAGGGGAGCAGCCAAGGCAGGCGCCCGGCAGGATGGACTCTGAATCCCCCAAGTGGCCTGAAGGAAGCCACCGAGGCGAGGGAGAGCTTCAGAAATGGAGACACCGGTCCTTCCCCAAAGACATTCCGTCCACATTCCGGGACTTTTGTCGGTTGTATGAATCCCCAAGCACCCAGAAAGGCAGAGGAACGGCTTGCCTGCAGAAATCGTGGGGCCTCCAACGCTGGATGTTTTAAAGAAAAGTCTGGACAGTCACTTAACTAAAATGGTACAGGTTCTCCTGCTTGAGTAGGGGGATGGATTAGATGACCTCCAAAGTTCCTTCCAACTCCATTAGTTTATGTTCTAATTTCCTGATAATTAGAACAATTAATCAGTGGAAGGGCTTGCCTTCTGAAATTGTGGGTCATCCATCACTGGAGGTTTTTAAGAAGAGACCGGGCAGCCATTGATCTGGAATGGTATATAGGTTCTCCTGCTTGAGCAGGGGGTTGGACTAGGTGACCTCCAAGGTCCCTTCCCACTCTATTCCATCCCACGGGCAAGCAACTGCTGCTTCCCGACTGAGTGAAGTATTAGTTGCGCAAGGAAATGGAGGGTCCCCTTTTTCCGGGCTCCGTCTTCTGGAGGCAAGAGCAAGATAAGGGGAGCTTCAATCGGTGCCACGGAGGAAGCCACGTTTGAAAGCAGCCTTGCAAGTCTTGCTTCGGGATGTCAAAAATCTTCTGGGGTGAGGAACCGCTTGAGGGATGGATGGAGAAGCTGGGCAGTGGGAAGGTTTGATGTTCCCCCAAAGACGTAGAGATCTTCCGTTAGGACTGGACCCAGACACCCCTTCTGGAATTCTAGGAAAGCTGCGCTGCGCTGTGGAGCAGGAACTAAGTTGGGAAACCAGATCCTTCCTCCCTCCCTTCCTTCCTTCCTTGGCTGATCTGTAACCTCTTTTCGGTTTTGGGAAGAGTATTTCTCCTTCGGAAAATTATTTGTGGGGAGGAGGGGGGGAAGTAGGATAGAAAAACAGCATTTCTTCAGCTTATGTTCCTTCCATTGGGGGGTGGGGGGTTATGTGTATCATGATTTAATTCAGACTTTATCAACCTGGGGCCCTGTGGATAAGCTAACATGATTGGAAGAGAATGCATGAATCTGTCTCAGCTAAAAATCAAGAAGGTTCGGGAGCAATTCTCTGTCGGCTTTCCCTATCTCTCTTTTCCTTCCTTCCTTCCTTCCTTCCTTCCTTCCTATTTCCATTTCCTTCTTTATTTCCCTTCCTTCCTTGTGTTTCCGTTTCATTCCTTCCTTCTTTCCTTTCTCTCTCCAAGCAGCAGCAGGGGGAATGGGTTTAGGGAACGTTTAGCAACCAAGTATTTGGCATGTGCTTTCTCTGCGGTGGACAAGAGTATCTCCTGGTCTCGGTCAAGAAATTCAGGCTCCTCCTCCTCCCTGCAAACCCCACTCCCTTCTAGCAGTGATAATGTTACCCAGTTGGGTCACGAAGTGTCTGAAGAAAACAACTAAGGTCAGAGAGCAGTATGGACCTCACAGTCCTCCTCCTCCTCTTCTCTCCCCCGCTCCCTTCTAGCACTGATGATATAACCTAGTTGGGTCATGAAATGTCTGCAAGAAAACCATCAAGCTCCGAGGACCCCCCACAGTTCAACCCTGAGCCATAAACATTCTCTTCTATCGGTAGCCAACCCCACGTTGGCCTAAGAATGGGGAGGGAGGGACACACCCCATTTACTCCTTCATATTACACTCCACTGCACCCACGGAACGCTTTCCTAGTCCAAGTCACCTCTCCCAGGCTTGGCCTGTTTGGGGAAACGTGGCGGTGTCTGTGCTTGGTAACAAATTCCCCTTTCCCAGGGATGGGTCTTCATTTCAGTATTTCAAGAGGTGGGGGGTGGATTTCTCCGCAGCTGAGACAGGATAGGGACGCACGATAAAACTCAAGAGACCCTTTCCTGGGGCGGTGGGGGGGAAAGGAGCGTGGGGAGGGGTGCTTCCCTTTCCAACTCCATCTGTCAGCGTTCCAACTAAACAACTCCAAACCAATAAACTTTGAGACAATCAATTCCTCAAAGTTCCATTTCATTAGAGTTGTCCTGTTGGCCTACCCGAATCTGAGAGTTCCGGGTTTTCCCTTCCCAAAAGAGAAACCAAAGTTCTAACTCCCTGCATCCATCAGCCCATCCCATGGCCCAGTCAAATCTTCGTCCCAGCCGGAGCCATTCCTCCAGCCACTCCCCTCCAGGTGCAGGGCAGCTTGTCCTTGACTCTCTGAGAAAAGAATGTCTAATCTTCTAATCCCCATTATCAAATTCCCCGGCACTGAATACAGCAGCCTCGGAGCTTCCCAGTAGAAAAATGGCTTCCAAAACCGACACCATCTTTGCTTCTCATTCTGTGCCGCTGTTCGGTCCCCTAATTAGAAAAGAAGAAGTCGGGGACTTTTCATGCTCTCATTAGCTTCTGTATTAACTAGCCGATTAACATCTTTTAATTAAAAACACGCCAGCCTCAGAAAGTGACCGGAGTCTGTAATTAGGATTCAGCTCTACACTCAATTTCACAGCTGGAATCCTTATTGGGCGGGACGGAGAGGATGGCATTCATTGCCGGTCGGCCTTTGACTCGCCCAACAGCCGCCCCAATACCACCAGATAAACAAATCAACAAAAGGAGACACTTGTCGGGTGTGGAAGCGCCGTGGCGCAGCCCTTGATGCTTCAGTGGGTGAGCCTCAGCAGGGCCTTCCAGGCAGGGGGAGGGGGGAGAGCTGTCAATCAACCCCGCGATTTAAAAAAAAAGGAGGTTTGCAGGATTGGAGCGTAGAGAAAAGCAAGGTTGTCTGAGGCTTTGGAAAAAGTGCAAAGAGGCAACTAAGACGATTAAAGGCCTGGAGACTAAAACCTACTAAGTTGCAGGATTTGTCTAGTCTAAAGAAACGAAGGACTAGCGGGGATATGACAGCAGTCTCCCAGTAATTGAGGGGCGGCCCCAAAGAAGAGGGAGTCAAGCTATTCTCCAAAGTACCTGAAGGCAGGAGAAGAAACAACGGATGGAAACTAATCCAGGAGAGAAAAAAACCTGGAATTAAGGAGGAATTTCCTGACAGTGAGAACAATTACCCAGTGGAACTGCTTGCCACCAGAAGTTGTGGGTGC